ATGTTATATTCAAAAGTTCAATTTATCCGAATGTTGCAAGTGAGATACTTGAATTAGCCAAGAATAGTTTATCTCGTTTCATTTGTGTAAATGAAACATTTTGACGTAAATGAATTGTTTCATAATATTGCAACAACAAGCTAAACGTTACGCGGCTGAACGGCAAAGAAGCCTTGAAATTGAAATTGCTGTGTGGTCGAGTGAGTGGGTCGATAACTTCATTCTTTACGGTAACATTTCAATAAGCCGAAAATACTTCGTTATGTCTTGTGATCAGGATTTCGAGAAATTATATTCACCAAGCCAATGGTCAAAAAGATTCAACAGTAAAGAAGTGCTTGAAAAACATGTTCAATTTATTGAACATCGTAAGTACCTACTTCTTTTGAATTATTAATGCTGGTAGAAATGAGAGGTTTTATATTTTGTATCGGATAATTATGCGAATTTGCCGATGAAGGCAAGTTGTTCAGGTTAAAGGAGATGATGACAAAAACATTTTTTTTATATAACAATACCATGGACTTAATATTTTTATTTTTATATTTTCAATTTGTCTGTACTATTTCAGCTTACTTAATTTACTAATATTAATAACTTACTTTATTCTTTTGAAATTTATAAATTTTCCCAATGAGTTATGCAGTAATCAGACGTGAGCAAACTGTACGTTAATTATGAAAAATCACTTCCGTAGCATAAGTATAAAAATACAAGAGAATGTTTAAACGAATATAATTGTGATTAATCAGAAGAGTAAAATGTTATGAAATTATATTTATATTGATTCCTTTTAATCATTTTAACTGCATTCTTATTGAAGAAAGTCTTATTAAAAGCTATTTCTTTGATTACAGACAGCAGGTTGGTACGAGAAAAAATTCCATGCCATCTAGGGAATTCTTATGGACCAGGACCAAAGGAAAAGTACGACATATACGGAACAGACTTGAATAATCGTGAGTTCTTATGCAATATTACAGATTCTTAAGAACTTTCAATCATTACAAACCATTACCTCTATTAGAGAAACAATTGTCTTAACAAACACTCCATAGAAATTCATTCTATTTTATTCATTTAAATTCATTCTATTCAACCAGAAACAWATTYTGAAAMATGMAKAAAYWKTKTTGGKMGTTTTATGGMMTAAATAAATAAATGSAAAAGTGATTATCTRAGATTGAAATTATAAAAGTGTATAAGTAGTATAAGACTGAAGGRAACGAAAAAAAGTTTTAACTTTTTTAGTTATTGGCAGACATGTTCTTCCCGATCGTTCTACTTTTATGTAGAACGATGAACAGAAAATTAAATTAAAATATATTGCCTGTCCCAAAAATGGACAATTTAATATTGAACATATTTAAAATACCGCAGGGCCGTAGAAACAAAACTAAAATCAGAAATAATTTTATCAGATTTAACGTATCCTAGAAAAAGTGATAAAGTGACAGAATATTATATCAGTGGTACAGCATCTGCGAGGCGAGGTTGACAATGAAATCAAAAATTTTACAGAAGATTTTTTATTACAAAATAATACACAAGTTAGGTATTCAATTATTACCAAAGATGTAAGAAAAATCAACACACGACTACTTTTCACTTTGCCTTCTTTCGATTATCATAAGGTTGTAAGCGTTAAGCTAACATTTATATATGAACTACATAAGTAAAATTCAAATTGAATAACTGTTCTTCATTGCATTAAGTTCATCCTCCTTGAGCTTATAAAATCATGTTTGTTCCAGATGCTCCAATTCTGATACATATTCACGGAGGTTATTACCAAGAAGAATGCATCACACATTCAAACAATGGTTTCATCGCAAGCGTTTTGCATGAGAGTGGCATTAAAACCATTTTATTAGGGTATGAATTGAGCCCACAACGCACAGTAAGTGAAATTTTGGAGCGCTTGCAAATTGGTCTAAGGGAGTGTATAAGCTACGCCACAAAACTAGAATCTCGGTAAGCCATAGAAGATAGTGTCATTTGCAGTACTTACCAAATATGTTTTTCAGTGCTCTTTATCTGTCTGGTCACTCAGTTGGAGCTCATGCTATAGCTGCTCTCCTTTCGGAGTTAAAAAAATCGATTTCATCAGCAGAAAGTGACTTAATTCAGGGTGTTTTTCTAATATGTGGGCTGTACGACATGGTACCGATCACAAAAATGTCGGCTAACGACTTGCTGAAACTCACAGCAGATACAGCCAGAGAATTAAGCCCACTCTATGGCGAACTTGATTATGGCAGTACAAAGATTTTTATTGTAGGCGCTGAAAATGATAGTCCAGCTTTTGTGAGCGATTCTCAAAAGTTTTATAAAAAGCTGCATCTGATGGGTGCAAACTGTTTCCTGACTATCATTCCAGATGCTGATCATTTCGATATTATTGAGAATTTGTATGATCGCAATTTTCAGCTTGCAGATTTCATGGTAAAAGCCATCAAGGAATAGTGTTGATTATTTATGTATCCACTTTAAAAGAGTGCGTTGAAGCTTCACTTTAGAAAGCTAAACACGAATCCTTTATCCCAAGTATATATACATATATATCCTAGTATTTCTGCATAATTTATTTCTAATTTACAACCATACATTAATTGAGATTGACAATTGCTTAATCCCAATTTGATTATTTACAAAGCATAGATGAACTATTCTAATATTTACTAGTTACTCGGTATCTATCCACATATAAAAAATTCAAATCAGTCATTTACAAAGTTCTATATGTAAGTGTAAATAACAATATCACAGAACAAGACTAGCTTTTTTTGTTTGGCAACATCAAATTCCAATCAATACTGAACAATGAATCTAAATATCCACAAACTACAAAACTGCTTTTAATAATGAAAATTACGTTTAGGCTTGAATTTGCGTTTTATGTCCAGCTAAGTAGTTGGAAGAGAAAGACAATTTACATTAAGTGAATGTAATTATTGAGAGAGTAATTGTTCACTCTATTGGCTTGAAGTGGCGCATTTCTCCATGTAATACATATCACCTAGCAATTGTGTTATCGGGATTTCTCCGATAGTTTCTTTAAAAAACAACAATTCCACAGTCATGGATCTGATTGCCCTTAGACTAGGAACTAACAGCAGAAGCCTTCCAAATCTTGTCGGTTGTCTGGGATATCGCATTCTCACATAGTCTCCTAAAATGCATTGAGCCTGGTCTTGAAGCATTTCAACTGGTTGAACATCGCATAATCCAGCAGTTTCTAACAAATAAGACGGTCCTATTTTAAACGCTTAGAGCGCGTATTATTTATTGTCTTAACGAATATAAATTCAGTTACAGATATTGCCAATTTTTTAAATGAACTAAAAATAAGAAGCTGAAGTGTGCAATAGTTAATGCGAAGCTAAAAGTCCAACGTTTTCCCTTCAATTTGTTCTATTTCAGCTTTTCGATTTATGCACTAAAATCAAGATCAAAGATCTGTACGGGAAGCAAAATGAAAACTTGATAAAAGGCAAATGTGCTACTTCCAAATCTGAAATCAAGTGCTACGTTTGGACATCAAAATTGTGAGAGCTACGTTTTTATGAGGCGTTTTAAATTAGTTTGGATTTTTCTTCATTACATTTTACCCACTTTTGGTTCAAAAATAACACATTTATATTAATTCTTCTGGTAATGTAAATATGTATATTACTTAATAAGTTTAAATATTTTTCAGATGATAAATAAAATCGGATCAATGTATAGATGCTTGTACTGCCTTCCAACATTTAATCATATTAGAATTGTTTGTTAACAGAAATCGAAAAAACTACAAATTTTCCACTATCCGATAAATATGTAAGATTGAATAGAGGTTATTTGAAAAAGTAAGAAAATAGGGAGTAATGTGAAGAGAACGTGCGACCTGCGAAAAATTTTATTGTTGATGTTAATTTTGCAAATCTGTTAAACATGTGTATTTTTTAAATAATTTGAATATCGGCCACTCTTAAACAAGACCACAAATTAAATTGAATTTCTACAAAAAATCAGCATTTATTAGTTTGTAACCGCGTAAAAATCATAATTTTTCAATCAACTGCTTAAAAGTAACGACGAAAAAATAATTTGATGCCTTGATAATATTTAGCGCCCCACTTTCTAGGGACACTGTTTAAGGCAAATATTTTCGAGGTTGATTGATTGAATCGTTTCCGGTGCCCTATTTTTGCTAAATACAATAAATCAAGTAAGTATAATTTTGCAAAACATAATAAAGCAATCAAATGTTGACAAAAGTTAGTAAATTACCGTAAACCATTCAACAAAATTGGAAAAACTTACCAGGTGTGAATAAAATTATTGCTTTCATACAGCCGCATTCACTTCCGTCTGGCGATATTTGTCGAAAGCGACACATAATTTCCTGAAAACTCCGACAATTAATAAAAACTTATACACTTGTCGGGAAGCTGTACTTGGATGGTTTTTATTTCAGTGGCTGTGTGCACATCATTGGGCAGTCTGTCTCTAGCCTGTGGACAGCCCAATACAGCTGAGAGATCCCAAGGTACCGACCATTGAGCCAAATGGAGCAAAAACAGCTCTTTCCAGGACTCTTGGAGCAGTAGAAGTTGATCGTTTTTGCTCAGCGTCTGGAACGGCGCTAGACATCGAACCCAACGTACTGCCATAAAAAGTAGACGGGCTGTTGTTTCCTAATAGATGAAAATTAATTTTGTCACATTTCTTTAGCAGAAAAATTGAATAATTTTTTGTTTAGTGGTGGAGATACTGTATGTGTAACTCAAATGTTTCGAAATAAACCGTGCAAAACGAATAGTTTTATTGAAATATTACCTTTTTTTGTTAAAAGTGCCAACATTTTCCAAGCAATTGGTAAAAGTATTACTTAAGTGTTCTTTCCAGCGATGTATTATTTTATCAATTATCAATTATCGCATAAGCTCATTATTTTCAAAATATATGAGCACAAACGTGGCGTAATGTAGAAAAGTTTGGCTTATCTTACATCCAAATGAACAATATTCAAATTTGACGCTTCTCGTTCAGGAAAATTGGCATTATTTCTTTACTCAATTTGCAGCAAGTGAAACGGGATCGGGACTCTTATTCTCTATCTGTTGGTAGGAAAACGGGATTTGGGTCTCGAATAGATTTTCAGATACGACAAAAAATACAGCGTCATGTTGGAGCCAATTATGCAATAAAGATTAATGCAATTATGCAAATGTAGAATTCAACCGAGCAAATTTAATAGTTTTCTGGAACTTTGTGCTTTTTGGGAAAAATTTCCCAAGTGATGCTTAAGGTGGTGTTAAAAAAATATAAACAGTTCGTTCACTTCAATAGCCAGAGTTAAAGCTTTAGTGTTTTTATCAAACACGCGTACTTTTATAAATCCAATGTCTTTGTTGTGTATGTAATTTTATTGGAGAACGACTAAATCGAGTGAGTCTTATTGGAATCCACATTGCCGAATTTCACCCTAAGGAGGCGTTTCCCCAATTCCAGACTGGATATTTTAGAGCCAACGAGAGATTCGCAGTCAAAAAGTCAGAGCGAATGAAAGTCAATCCTGCAAGCAGGACCTCCCATCCAGTAAGTTTACATTTTCCTGCATAAAGTGTCGAATCGAGGCGCAATTTCCGCAAAGAAATGTTTCGCATCAAAATTTACCCAACTCATGGGTAATATTTTTTTTCGAGTAGAGGATTTTGTGATTTTACCTGAAGCATCTCCCAAGTAGGCATCAGAGGCAGCGGCGGAGGCAAAGTGGGGCTCATTTGTGGCAATGGTAATCCTGGACTGGACATACTTAGGCCGCTGCTGGATTCAGATGCGGATGATTCTAATTGGGAAAGTTTTGTTCCCCAAACCAACTCCTGCAATGCAAACTTTGGCTTGGAAAATAGCTACAAGTTTAACATTCAAATTTAATTCGATTGCCTCTGATACATTTAAGACAGATTAGACAAAAAAATAGTTTTTACTGAATATGTTTGTATACAACAAAATAATAAATTCAGGCAAGCAAAAGAAAATATAAACTAGCCCGGCTCTAAACTGATTGTTATGCAGATAATTTCTAAGAAGGACTCAAGAAGTTACCGTAAAAAAATAAAAGAGTGTTTTAAACATGTTCATGCTCCATCATGGTTTAAAATGTTGTGCAAGCACATAATTAGTGCAAAAAAGATGTTTTTGTGATTTTCCTAGCTTGTTTTTGTATGTAGCTTATTAGCTAAATAAATAGGAATTTTATTTTTTAAGCATTTTCTCCACTAGTTCGACCGATCTTTGCCACTCGTTCCGACCTTTGTATTGTCCCACTTTAAGTGCATTTCCGCTCAATTTATTCATTTTCTACGTAAAAGAACCAAACTCCTTTGAAAAATACCTGGCATTTTTCTGCTGACATCAAGACATGCAGAAGTCCAGGTGGTGGTGGTGGTAAATGCGGATGATGAAACAAATGCGGCGGTATCGAACTGCCATTCTCCAAATGACCCGGTGGACTTCCGACTGAAGATGGTGGAGGAAATGTGAGCACCTTCAGAGGATGATGCGGAGGAACAAAGAGACTGCTATGGGTAAATTGAAAAGTTCCGGAAGTTGGGGTGATTTTACTGGCGGAACCTTCAGGCAAAGGTAACTGAAGCGGATGGCTGCCCATGCTGGAACCGGATTGATGATGCGAAGAACTGGTACCGCCCGGCATCTGCTGCAGTTTCGGTTTTCTTGGACCGCGTTCGTGCTGGACGGCTGCAAAGGAGAGAATTGCTATGTCAAGTGTATTACAAACTGCCGACTTTAGTAAGTTTTTGGCATTCAATTCGCGTTTGGTAAGTTTTGAACAAAATACCTTATTTGAAAAACCCCCATACCGATTTTCATTGCTAGAACAGTTCTATTAGTATTAAACAGAAGATTTGCAGGTGAATGAATTATTCTGTAGATTTATAGATCTAAGAATAAGAATATTTTGTAGATATAGATGGTTTTTGCTAAGAGTTAAAAGATAACTTTGTAGAATAATTCGATTATTCTTCCAACTGTTTTTAAAGCTTCTGCCTTTTTCTTTGATTTAATATTGTCATCACATTTTCATGCTGTAATTTGATTTGGCTAGATTTTACTTCAAAAAGTATACTAGAAGGAGTAAGCAAAATAATATATTTTTTATTCGAATGAATCGAAAAGTGCCATTTTGCGAACAGAAGCGGTGATCAAAAAGAAGCACTTTTCTTTAGCGTTCATTTGTTTTACTTTTACGCAAAGACTTTGCCGCACAGTGTGCGACAAAGTAAATGTGACACTTTGAACTTGCCACTGTCATTATATGTTTTTTAGTATTTTTATTTAAAAATAACCGAAATGCTTTTTTAAGGAATTACGTAGATTTATCAACAACTATTGATCCTATTTTCAAGTTTACTTACAATTTGTAAATTATACCTTTGTTACAAGTTCAGTCTCATAATCGTTTTAATGGTCTACTTATCTACTTTTGCGATGTTGTCACACGTAAAACACGATCTTTTTAAGAAGCGCAAATGTCATGCAGAGTATGCAACATGCCATCCAACAACCATCCCAAGACCACACGACTAAGGTGTTTCAAATTGAAAAAGTACTTAAACTTAATTACAAACTTCAAAACATGACATTTCAAAAAATGACATTGCCACAAAATTTTAGATATGAAATCGATGCATTTTATTATTCGTGTAATCTTTCA